TATTTGCAAGGACTTCTCTATTTGTTCTATTTTTAGAAAAGTTGTATTTTCAGGATTATAGTTCCATTATTTTAAAGGATTTGCATGTTTCTTTTTTTGCAACAGTTTCACGTGTTAAACTTAAATTCACAGGATTGCTATCATGCAATGATTTTTGAGTGGGTCTACAAACCCATAACACAACATCAGAATTTTGGAAAGTGCGAAGAGCAATAGTAAAGTAAGTTCCTTTGCTTATAAATAGCTTCTCAAATATGTTGTATTTTGGAATATCACATTTGTGCTTCCTACTTAGTTTCCTCTTTTTTTCTTTTTTTCCAGTAGATACGTTAATTTGATAAAACCTGAGAAAGTAGCGTACAATTTTTTTCTCGATATTTTCTTCTTCGGTAAGAAATAAGAAAATATTGAAAGAGTATACATGAATATTAAAATGCATATACATGAATATTTCTTTCTCAATAAGCATTTTCATTTTCTCAAATTCTTTCTTGCCTTTTCCTTTATTTAATCTCAATTCTTCTCAATTTCAGAATAATCTCAGTCTGAATTCTGAAAACATTAAAATGTTTCAAGTGACCAAAGTTTTTAGTTGCAACATGTTAACTAAATGCTTCTTAACTTATTTTGTCTCTTGGTTGTTTATGTAAATAGCATCTGACAGGCCTCTAGCCCAGCTGTATGATCAAGGACAATCACTCTCTAATCCATTGGCCAGTCATCCTGAAGCATCTAAGCAGCTGTTATTCCAGGAATTTCAAAATTGTATTGCTTCTATTGTACAAAGATCTGCCAATTCAACATTGACAGTGACTACTTCCACTAATTCTACTAGGACTCCCATGACCAGCGTTAACAAGAATCCAAACTTGGAGACGGCTATTTCACAAAGGCAGGTGCAGGGAAGGCAATGTGTGCTTCCGGTTGTTCCTCAACCAGACCAGCAGCATGTTCAGAATGCAGAGAAATATCCTTATAAGCAGAAATTAGAAGATCAGCATCTGAAGCAGAGCTTCAATCAGGGAAATATCATTCACTCTGATATGCAAACTAAGATCCAGCAAGGGGAACAGAAGCACATTATCTCAACACCATCACAGCAATCTGTCATTGTAGCATCTTCTGTTATGCAACCTTCTGTGATGCAATCAGCCCCGTCACGTCGTCTTCAACAGAATCCAGAGTCTTCTGTTCAACTGCCAATGCAATCTGGACTACAGCAACATCCGTAGTCAATCTCCGAAAATAATACATGTGTATTAGAATTTTTACAAATATCACTTTACATTTATTGTATATAATATTCGAATATATATATATATATATATATGAGAATATAGGTTGCTAAAACATTGTAGATATTTTATTTATTTATTTATATTTTTTTTTTGCGACGGTAACAAGATGGTCGCTAATACATTGTAGGTATTTTTTTAATTTTTTTGCGACGGCAAAACATTAGTCGCCATAACTAGATTAGGCAGTCGCAAATAGTTTGCGACTGTTATTTTGCGGTCGCAAAAAGTATTTGCCACCCCCACATTTGCGACCCCTATTTGCCGTCGCATGGGCCGTCGCAAATGGTCTTTTGCGACTGTTTTTTTATTATTTGCGACAGCTTGTAGCGGTCGCAAAAAGTACTTTTTTTAGTAGTGATAATTTTTTTTCAATTCACCTAGTTTTGGACAGATGATGGATTTGAGATTCTTTTGACTGCAACCGAATTTCCAAACCGCGAGCACCCCTAGTAATTTGTAAGATTTTGTGTTTTCAAGTTGTTTAGATATTCTATTTATATTTTCAATTGAAAAAGAGATTATATATTCTATTGTGTTTTCAATTTGAAAATCCTTTATCAAATGGCAAGTATTCATATTTAATATTTTTGTGTAGAAAATATAAGGCTTAATTTTGTCATTTTAAAAAAAAAATCAAATTAAATAGTTTTTGAATAAAAAATGGTAATTAAATAATTTTGATAATGTATGGTTTTCTTATATGCATTTGTTATTAGTATTTGACAATTTACTTAATAATCTTTTGATCATGTTGAGTTGAATTGTTATACCAAAAAAAATGTTGACAAATTGTTGTATCATGTTCAAAATTTGTAAAAGTTTAAACCGCCAAACCGATTCATATCCATCCATCAACCCGCATATGTCAATCCAACGAACGGATGCAGATTAATTTTTTCTAATCCACCAATCCGGCAAACGGACGGTGAATTAGAGATTTCCGACCGTAATCAAACCGCGAACACCCCCAGATTTGATTGGTATGTGTGAGATAAATTTTCCTATATAAAAATGGATTCACATTTCAATTTTGTAAGTATCTTCTTCCAGGCAACTTCAGGGATGGTGCTGTGTATGAAATTAATTTTTTTTTTTGTCTGGTCACACTAATCCCTTGCTTTTTCCTAATCTTAATTATCCATTTCTGTTTAATAAATTACGATTCCGGTTTTATTTGTCGGCGCCACCTGCTCATGACCACGTCATCATATGTATATATATATATATATATCATCATATGTATATATATATGTATATATTAAAGAGTAAGTCTATATTACCCAGAAAAAATATACTAAAAAATTATTTAGATTGTAATTGTGTGGTAAAAATTGAATTGAAAATTGTGTAGATTTATGTATAAAATAATTTTGAATTATTAATTAATAATTCTACATAAGATTCTGAATTTTTAAAAAATCTGAATTTATAGTCTTACTATATTTAAAATAATCAATTGGTAGAGAAGGGTTGGCCTTCGCGCAGTGACTCCATCTCATATGAGATCATGAAAATAATTAATAGGTGTCATGAATATGCACCATATGTTGAAAAAATTTAAAAGTGAATTTCATTCACATAAAATGGTGCAATCTTTTACGGTGTCTCTTCATATGAAAGGATTCATACCATCCACAGAGTCATGATCATTTTGAATGGTCACAAATATTTCTATAAATACCATCCACATGGCATTCATTTGTTAAGGAGTTTTAAGATTCATACATTATATCTAGTCAAGTATATGAGAGAACACATGGCACAAATTGACTAGCTGTACACACAAAAAGTTGTGTAATTTTTGTGTGTGATGATCATTGTATACTGGAGGCAGGACTTCTATCAATCGCAACCACCAGAAGTGAAGGCGAATTTCTATCTAAAAGACATAGTGTTCAAACACTGAACTCAATCACAATCTGTATTAAGTTTTACAGAATTTTTGTAAGCAATTTCTTATGTTTTATTTTATTATTTATTTGCATTAAATTGATTTTTCGAAAAGATTTTCTTACACCATATATATATGAAAAAACATTATGATACACTTTTAAAAGCAACACATTTTAATAAGGCATCGTTTGAAAATAGGTTATTTTAGTTGACTATTTAACTTTTTATGAAAAACGTGTAAAAAAATAAAGAGAGTGATGTGATTGAATATTTTGTTTTATTAGCTATTTTAGCCTGTATTTTAGTTCATCCCAAACACTCTCTAAATATTATGTCAATTTTTAGTATTATTTATGCAACTACGTAGTAAAGTTATGAATAGGCAAATTTATGGTCCACACATCCCTATTGTAAAAGTTATGAATTATTATAATTATGTATAAAACGGTGTGGTGAAAATGTTATGAGCTATTTTTATGAGAAAATTTATGGCATGGAGTGGTATTTATTAATAAACATTGAACGTCTCGTTTAGGAGTTATAATTGAAAATAGTTTAAACTTAATTGAAGATTTACGGTTTGGGAGATTTACTTTTTGGGAGGGGAACTTCTCTGGACATGCAACATATGATTAGGATTATAATTATATAATTTTGAAAAGATTATATGCATTCGAGTTTTATTTTATTTTCTTGTATAATTTGAAATGCCAATGTTATTAAATCAATACTAATGAGTAGGCTAATTTTGAAACTAACATCAATGATTTAAATAATTTATTTTGTAAGATTCATTAAGAATATAATATATAAAAAAATTAAATTGTTTAAATATCAATAGCTATATGTCCATATTACATATTTATCTTATAAAATTGAAAGACAAATATGATTTTGAAAGTAGACTATTTATTTTGTAAGATAAATATAATTTGATCATTTGATTACTGACATTTGATTATTGATTTTTGGTTTGAATACTCTCCTCAACAAACTATAAAAATAAATGATTCGAATTGCAAAATAAATCCCAAAAATAGACACATCTCCAATTATATCACCAAATGACACCTCTCCAATTATATCACCAAATGAAAAAGAACTCAACCCTAAAAAACAATAGTAATTTCTTTTGAAATATCTAACAAAACCAAGTCTTAAATCTCATCAAATAGGGCTGACTACATGAATCTTTTTTCTCCACTCAACTCTATCAACGGTCATTTAATTAGTCAAATTAAGGAAATTTATATCTCTATTTACTACATTTGTCCACATCAATCTAGGTCTACTCTTTCTCTTAACACTTCCATCTATCATCACTGTATCACATCTATTTACTACTGCTTATGTTAGCCTCCATTGTATACTATTCATATCCATTCACGAATATCTATTCTCTCTCAACTTATCTCTCTCAACTTATCTTCTATCAATACTATTCATATCCATTCACGAATATACGCCTTTCTAATTTCTAATTCGCTAATATATTTCTTTTGAAATATCTACAAATAACAATTTTTCCACCCTAAAAAGTAAGCCAGAAAAGCAAACACTATTGACCCTCTCCATATGTAAACTTTCTTAGATCTTCCCTCACAAGTTAACTTACTCTTCACCAACAATTGCGTCATAGACCCGTTCTCCTCACTTTTCTTTTTTTGGTCTTCTTAAAGCTTTTGACAACTTTCCATGAAACCAACAAAAGACAGAAAATATAAAAATAAAAAAACAAGTGTAGGAATCAATGCATGGACTTGGGTTGGCAACTTGGCATGCATGCCCCTCCCTCCTTCCTCGAACTCCACCACCTCTCTCTCTCTCTCTCTGTATATATATATCTGAATAATCTTTCAAACTCACCATAAGAACTAGAAAGGTATGTCAATGGAAGAGAGAAAGTTGGATCATTTTCAAGACTTGTTGCCAATTATGGCTCAAAAGTTAGGAGGGAAAGGGTTGATCAAAGAGCTTTGTAATGGGTTTAGGCTGTTAATGGATGGTGATGAGGGAGTGATTACATTTGAGAGCCTTAAGAGAAACTCTGCTCGTCTTGGGCTGCAAGATTTGGGAGAAGATCAGTTGAAGAACATGATCAGAGAAGGAGATTTGAACGGCGACGGAATGATTAATCAGATGGAATTTTGTGTTTTGATGTTCAGATTGAGTCCTCAGTTGATGGGTGAGTCTAAGATACTGTTGGGTGATGCTTTTTTGCAAGAAATTTTAAAGCATGAATAATAATGTTTCTTCATTTTCTATCTTTAATTAATATAAATATATATATTTTTTCTTTTTGTTTGTTTGGTGTTCAAGAAAAGATTTTGTGTGTGAAGTTTGGTAGTTAAGTGAGAGTGTTGAAAGATGGATCAATGATCTCCACTTTTAGCACCTTGTGCAGTCCCTTTTTTTTCATTCTCCTTCAGTTAAGTTTCTTCAAGAGGTTTTATTTATTTTTTTGGTCTGCCTCCAGAATGTGGACGGAGAGGCGGTATTCCAAGCGTTCATAACGGGTCTTATTTTAATAATTTTAACAATTTATTTTATTGGGTATTTTGTATATCATATAAAAAAAATTAAGTCAATTTGGTGAGTATAGCTTATTTAATTTATCATGTTTCTTACCAAAAAAATGAGTGGTCTATTTTTCAAAATACAATGTTTATTTTCAGTTTTTTAAAAACACTTTTCAGAAAATTAATATTTTCTTATTTTTCATATTTTTTGTTTTTACTAAAAATTTTTAATATTTTAAGCAATTTTTTTTTTATTTTCAGACACACCTAACATAAATACACTTAAAAATTATAATTTTTGTAAAAAAAATCTTTAAAAAATCAATAAATACAAAAAATACCAAAAATAATTATAAAAATTCAGCCTATTTTTCATATTTTTTGTGTATTTATTAATTTTTTAAAATGTTTTTTCACAAATATTTTACGTGCATTTAAAAAAGTAAAAAAATGCTTAAAATTTTAAAAATATTCACTAAAAATCAAAAAACATGAAAAACAAAAAACACAGTTTTCAAATAACTGAATTCAAAAAACTGAAACTAAACACACTGATTGTTTTTATTTTTTTTTTGGTGAAAAATATAATAAATTAAATAAGTTATGATTGTTAGATCGACGTAATTATTTTATTTTATTTTATTTTATTTATAGATGATATATACAAAGTGCTCGAAAAAATAAATAATTCAAATTATGAAAACAAAATCCGTGATGAGCTTCACGAATCCAAATTGCACCCTCCAATCCACACGGCGTAAAATTTAAGACCAAGCCCAAACTCAAGGACTTTGGCCGGTGCACGAGCTAGGCTCAGGTCGCTCCATCTTCGATTGCTAGAATAATGCTTGGGACCCCCTTTTGGGGGTCACCCCCTCACCCCCCTTTGTCACGTGACAGGTGGTGATTGGAGGAGCAGGAGAAAAAAGAAAAAGAAAAAGAAAATGTAACTAATGAAAGAGAGAGGGGGTCAAAGGGGGTGGAGGAAAAAGGGGATGAATCATTGTTGCGATTGCTAAGGTTCAAGTTCAACCCATAGAGTCAAAAATATGGAAATATGGGCTTTGAACCAGACTTGTCCCATTGGCCCATATGGGCATATACCTATCTTTTTTCACTTTTTCTTCTTGTTTTTTTGAACGCATCAAACAAGGACTTGTAATCGACCAAAATACCCGAACTGTACCTCTCCAGGTGCATTAGAGAGAAGATAACTTCAGATTACTATAGTAAGGTCAAGTTTGGCTACTACAAAATAATCTATTTTTTTAGGGGAATTTACTGATAAGTCCCATGTAACAAGTTCAAAACCCAACTAATCTCAAAACAAAATACTTGCACCAATTAGTCCAACACATTTTTAATTGTTACCAAAAAATCTTTTTTTTTTTTTTAAATTTATAGACACTGTTCACATCTTACTACCGTCGGACTTCCGTTTAACGGTCGCCGGAGACTCACCGGAATGTCTAGAATATTGCCGGAAAAAAAAATTAAAAAACATGTTATGAAGCTGTAAAATTTTACAGTTCTAAAGAATGTTATAAAATTGTAAAATTTTACAGTTTTAAAACCATGATTCATTCCAGCACCAAAAAAAAAAATTGAAACTGCAAAATTTTACAGTGTTCACCGCCTGTAACTAAAACTCGAAAACTGCTTGTTCAGAATTCGAAAATTTTCTCTATTAGAACAGAAAAACAGAAGTGTATAGCAGAGAGAGAAGAAAAAAAAAAGAGATCGAAGGGGAAAGACGGATATCTAACCAAATCTGTGTAGATCTACTCAGATCTGATGTAGATCTATATCAGATCTAAGTAGATCCATTCATCTTCTTCGTCGGAAAATATATCATCTTCTTCGTCGGAGTTGATTTCAATGCTTGGTGGTTATCAATGAACCCCGATCAATGGAGAAAGATATGATCACCGGTGGTCCTCTTCCATGACAAACACGGTGACAGAAAAATGTAGAAAAAAAAACGAGAGAGGAAGGGAAGCAAAAAGCAGAGAGAGAGAGGAAAGGACTTTTTGGTGTAGTGAAAAAGTTATGGGATTAAATGGAGATCACATGTTTCCCATGGGACCTATGGGTAATTTCTCCATTTTTTTATCTTTTTAATTTTTTTTTATCACATGACCTCTCTACTTTTCTGCACATCTTTTCGTAAAAAGACAAAAAATACACTTATTTAGATCATTTCAAACAACCCTTTAAATAAAAATTAAACTTCTAACAAAGTAGCACTCCAATATTATTCCTCTTTACATAAAATTACACAAATTTTTATTTGAAAATTAATAATTATAAAGAAGGGGAAAAAAATCCTAATATAAGGGTCGTATTTGTAAGGAAACCTAAACTTTGACAAAGGTAGCTACTCTAATTCAAATGTTAGATTTACTTTTCTGATCTAATGATGTGATAATTAATAAAAATATTCAAAATAATTCTTTTCTTATATCTGTTATAATTATTAATCAATCATTTCTCTTATATGTTATTAGGTTTAAAAAGTGAGTTTAGAATATGAGCTTGTCATTTTCCTTTCAACAAACATCTAGAAGACTAGGTTCTGTCTTGAATGCCTTACAGGTGAGCATGGTCTGGTTTGAATCGGTTTGAGATGAAATAAGGATCACTCTATTGTTTACGGTTTCATAAAAATTGAAATCAAATCAAACTATTAAAATCATAGAATCAATCCGAACCAAACTATTTAAACATAGTTCGGTTTTAATTTGAAATCATGAATCATATAATTTGTTTCACAAAAAAAATTATATAACATTTTCAAAAAAATTCAACCGATCATAAATTTTAAAAGTAATAATATGTCCATCAAACAAATGACTTTCATAATATTCAATAGTTAAGCAAAATATATTATTAAACAAATATTGTTCAACATTAATCTATCATAATTTTTCAAAACATAAACATGCATATTGTTCTACTATTAACTTAAATAAACATAATATTTAGGAAATAAACATATATGGTTTAAGTTATACGGTCCAATTCGCTTCGAATTTGGAATTGTAAACCTAAATTTAGAACTAATCTACAAAGATCAATTCTCCAATTTTCTAAATTAAGACAGAACCACAAATTAAAAAATAAATCAATCAATCAAATCTACCGAATTAATCTAAACTAATTCAATTTGTTGATTTTTCAGTTTAGATATGATACAGAGCTCTAGTAGAGCTGTGCTAAAAAAAAAAAAGAGACAACACAATAAGAGAAAAGACAAATTAATGCTATTTTAGAACTCTTCTTTTAAAGCTCTAAAACATTTTTCTTTTTAGTTTCCTTACTCAGTTTTAGAACGCCTAGGCCTGGGGCTGGCTCTAAACTATTGACTAGAAACAACCATTAATTAGGGGTGTAAATTTGACCCGGCACGGCCCATGTTGAGCCTTGTGGGCACTGGCCAAAATTCGAGCCGAGCTGGGCCAGCCCATGTGCCAAAAAATTAAGCCCAGGCTCAACCCTAGGCCCAAGGGTATTCGGGCCTTGGATGGGCCAGGTCTCGAGCCGGCCCGATGGGCCTGGTCTTGGCCTCGGAGTTGGGCGGGCCTAACTATTTTTTAAAATTTTTTTAAATTTTTTCTACCAAAATTTTATTATTTTCCACTAAAAAAGACACTATGACTTGAGCAGGCAAGGCCTTCAGTGGGCCTTAAGCGAGCCGATGGGCTAGGCCACGGGTCAGGCGGGTCGGGCTTCAAAATGATGGCCTAGGCCTAGGGGCTCAGGCCCGGGCCTAAACAGGCCGAACCCACCCCGAGCCGCAGGCGGGTTTCAGGCCGCCAACAAGTCGCGGGCCATTTTTACACTCCTGCCATTACTATAAGAAAAATAACAATAAATAAATAAATAATTTCTTTGGCAATTACCCTTTATTCTTCCTCAAATCTAGTAAAGGCTCATCCAATGGAGTGATTAAATATTGTTATTGTGGTTCGCATGAAACTTATTTTATTATTAATTGTATGTTATATTGGGTAATTATTCAGTAATTCTGAAATATAGACCCATAATATTATATAGTATTGTAATTGGTGGAGGAGGTGGATTGGTGGGGTATTATATTGGATGATTGGGAAACATAATGAGCATATTGAATGATAATTGGTTAAGGAGTACGGACACGTGATACTCCAGAAATATTCTGCTATATGATATGATAAATAAAATAAATCTAATCAGAATAATATATATATATATATATATATTTGGAATACAAAATACTTTTAAACAAAAAAGAGGAGGAAATTAAAGAAAAAAAAATACTTTCTACAAACTCTTAAGGTTGTTTTGGGAATTGACTTTTTTAGTATCTTCTAAATTTTTTACGCAAAATATATGTAAAAAAATAGAAAAAATAATTGACATTTTTATAATATTTTTTTTAACTTTTTAACTAAAATTAGTGACTTTTTGAAATAAGCTTTACTAGTCGAAAAATGACTAATCGTTCACAATTACTCTTTGTTTTTGGGTTTTTTTTTTTTTTTTTGAAAATGATATACAAGTATACTTTTTAGATCTATTTTTTAGATCCAATGATGTGTAAGTGATGTGATTAGTTGATTATTAGAGAATATATGAGAAAGAGAGAGAGAGAGAGTATTGTCTTTAATATCCTAATTGATTGTCACATCATTGAACTTGAAAATTGTATCTAATTTTTTGTCCTGAATAGTATTACTCCTTTTTTTGGTCAATCGATAAAAGAGTAATTGCAAATATGGCAAATATTACATTATCCGACA